CAATTGTGTGAAGCAAGCATCAAGAAAGTGAATATCAAACAAATCTAGAAATGATCGATAAATTTGTAATAAATTTCTTTTTATTCAATGAAAATCAAAACATGACTACCCTCTAATTAAACCCTAGTAACAAAAAGTCCGATGTAAAAAAATGCTCTTCTAGGCCCGGTTAAATACACATAATTGAGAATTTTTAAAATAAATAAAATAATGTAGCTTGATAAATATACATACTAATAGTTGAATGATGCCACATGCCATCGCGGATTGACATCAAACTATTAAATGATAGTCGTTTTTTATAGTTCAATGGCACTTGAACTAGGGATTATCAACGATAGGTATAAGGTCTGCTTTCATGCAAAGCTCTCTATTCCTTTACTCCATTATCATATTTTTATTCCAATCTTTTTTCACTTTGAGAGACTGATATGAGTAATAATGAGTGATTGTTATTGCCGAGCTAGGAACGCAATGAGATAATGCTTTATACATAAAAAATTTCGTAGCAAATGAATACCTCAATACTTCCAGTAGTAGGTCATGGATGCATTGTTTTTAATTTGTATAGCGTATCAAAATTGATTCTATAGAATTCTATATATGATAACTAGTCAGGTGGGTGGTTGGGTAGGTGGTGGATATAGGTGATCCATCATTGAATAAACCAACTACTAAATTTGTAATACTAAGGGCATGTTTCATGCTCGATTGAATAAATATATTACTTTTTCCGAAATTTTTTTGCCTTATAAGTTACTTTTCAGTTAAATATTTTACCTATAAATGAGTTTTTACTTTTAAACTCGTAAGGAAATTTTTAATTATGAGCAATATTTTTGCTTCCAAGTGTTTTTTTTTTTTTTTTTTAACTTTTGAATAGTTATTTTTACATTTTTGTAATTGTTTTATGTATAAGTGAATTTTTTACTTTTAAATAAAATTTCCGGTCATAAATAATTTTTACTTACATGCACTTTTTTATTTATAGGCTAATTTTTTTTTTCACTTAATAAACAAATTTGCTTATTTATTATTTCAATCCAACTCACATTTTTTCTTAACAAATTTAACCAAATAGTTATGCGAGCTAACACCACTTATTAGAGAATAATGAAGTATATGACAAAACATGAAGTAGCAATCAACACAAGAAGAAGACAAGAAATCGGCAAAGGAAATAAGAATTCACTATAATATGAAGAAATAATACAAAGATATTGGGTTTTCTATATTGTCTAACTTATTCTAACTATGAAGAAGAGCCAATTATATATAGGGGTACATGTCAAATCCCAATAAGAGCCCTGAAGATGGGGAAGAAAAAAAAAGGTCAAAACGCGAAACGGATCACAGGCTGGAATAGCACCGAGCTCACGATAAAATGAGAGGTGACCTGCCACTCGAGCAATAGCCTAGTGCCAAGCAAGAGCTAACGCTCCTGTTTTGAGCTCTTGATCGGGAGCCTGATGGACAACAAGCGGGAATGCACTGACTTTTCCTTTTTGGTCCATATTTCGACCTCTTCAAATCCACAAATACCCAATAGAATTCAAGTCAAACTTTAACAAATTTTCACTTTGAATCAAATTTCGATGCAATGAACAAATTTCAAAACTTTCCATTTGGAGACAGATTCCACATCAAGGCAAAAAATGAACTGTTCAACAAGAACTTCAACTAATTCTCCAATGAACAAAATTCTCCACCCCTTCCGCAAAATCCAACTAGAATAAATGAATCCATACATGTTCGCGCATATTATGCTTTTTCACTTTTCTCTTCTTAAAATGAATATTATTATAAAATAATTAATTTGGTTCATGTGTAATTTATGAAGTAAATTTATTTAGTTCTATAATTTTTAATTTTTATATTCGTAAAAATCTAAACTATATAGGTTTTAAAAAATAAAATTCCTCTTATATAACAAGTTGGATTTGTTAAGGTTCAAAGGAAAAAAATGAAAAATTATTGAGTTTAACCATTTGTGCAACTAAGGAAAAAATCATAATTGTGATACGATCTCAATAGAACTTATAAAAAAGAAAGATTCAATTATCCTCATGTTAATAGTTATTTCTAGTATTTTATCACTTTGGTAGCTATAATAATTATGTTAGAGCATAAGCTTTAGCAAACATTCACACCTTTGAAGTTGTTTATAAACGATGTAAATTATAATTATAGAAATAAGTGGTGTATATAAGGGAAAAGCATATGATTGGTCAGATAATTAGAGAGTTGGGGTGGGACAAGGCAAGGGTGGGTATGTGGGCGAGTGAGTGGCGACAGAAGAAATGGGGTGGTGGGGGTAAGAGGTTGGATTTTTTTTCTCTCTTTATTATTTCATTTCCATTTTTGTAGTCCATTGTTTTCTTTCTTTATTGACATTGATAGCCTAATTAAAGGGATAAGAGCGAAGTCTTATTACATGAGTGTCTTATATATGTTTGAGTTTCATTTAAAGGTGAAAATTCAAAAAAACAAAAAATAGTCGTCTTTTTTATAAAATGATGGAGATTGATTTAAACTAGGTGTGTATTCACAATGTAGAATAATTGATACTCAAACACCAACATGGGCATTTGATGCATTTACTAGAACCAATAATGGATAAAAATCAAATTTTTAGTAGATTTTGATAGAAATTGGTGAAATGCGTGATGAAAATTTGATAAAAGTTGTGGATCATAAAAAATGTGGTTGAAAAAGAGTTTGAAAAAAAAATGAATTTTAAAACAGGGGCTAAATAGTGGTATAGAAAGAGGACCACATCTGTCAGCCTGGCCTGGCCCAAGCTTAGCCCATATTAATGATTGGCCCAGTTATTTTCATCAAGCTCATCGTCGAAGAGTCCAGCCCAATTGGGAGCTCAAAATGAAGAATCGAAAATTTGATAGAATTGGCACAACAATGAAGAAGTTATCGGGTTAACATTTTTTAGACTTATAATTTAGCACCATACTATGATGTTTATAGCACCTATTAAAGAGAGAAAAGCATTCGTTTATCCATGGCCCTTGAGGAATAATATTGTTTAAGAGTATACATTTCTTAGTGAAAATACATTTCAAATATCGAAGTCCACTCGATTTAAATCGAGAACGTGCAACTGGAATCACTAATTTTGTCCAACTTTCCTTAAATTGATACTCATTACTCAAAAAGAAGAAAATTCAAAAGATGAAGATGAAGAATATTTGAAACTATGAGAGAGAGAGAGAGATTTAGTTTTCCTAGAGAACATAATGCAACCAATCGATTTCACTTCCCTAATTAATCAGCCAAAGGATGAGTACAATAGAAACACCATAACGTCTCCAAATCCAACGGTAGAGAAGGTGACAAATGGTAGCATTACAACACATCCATTTATTTAGAAAAAGTGTGTTTCCAATATCTACAACTTCAATTGAAAATGCAAGTTTAGTTCACAAAATCAATTAATCAATTGTAACGTATCTCAACAATCTCAACCTTGGTACAATAGATCCAATTCACAGTGCAATAGATTCTGCCTTGGTCAACATCATTTGCTCATGATCAACAAGAATTAATATTGAACTAACTCGAGCAATCCAAAAATTTATATTACTCAAAGACAATACTTCCTTCAATATCTGCAGGATTAAATGAGGAGAAATCTTTTCGAATTTAACAATCATTTGTGAAATAACATCTCTAATAATGAAATCTAATATCAACATGTTTAGATCTATTATGTAAAACATGATTTCTACTAATTAAATATATAGCAAGTTGACATTCAGAATACAGAAGAACTTCTTTATCTATAAAACCAAATTAATGCAACTATCCCTTTAACCAAACACCCTTTTTGATTGCACAAGTAACATCAATATACTATATCTCAATTGAAGACAAGGCAACAATTTTCTATAGTTGAGATTTTCAAGTATTACAAAAATTATTAAGAGAATAGATATATGTAGAAGTATATTTTCTATTATCTCTATCACATGCATATAATGAATCGAACTTTGCTACTTGAACATCACGATTTACTGACCTGGATTTTGTGGGAATTAGAAATTAGAAAAAACAAAAGCTAAAATGTTCCCGAAAACTTCATTTGTAATCCTTTCTATCTACCGAGATATACAAGTAGCAATATCCTTATGATTTAGTATATCCTCTCAATATAATACCCTCGCTCTTTTCTTATAATGTACCTATTCCCAAATCAGATGTATATCACTAATTAAATATATCATATGTTCTTTTAATGTATCTAGGAGTCATCAAACTACTTTAATAGTTTTGTAATATGACTTATAGTGTACCCTTTCTCCAATTCCTCTTTAGTACCTCTTAATCTTACTCTCCCACTTGCACATTGTCTATTGTATAATCACTAGAACCACATAGAATAACTATGTTGGACTATAGAAAGTTACTACACCATCACATAAACTAGTGCTAAGCACCCGTAAGGTTAAATAGTATTACTCAAATAATAATTTCTTTTAATCTTTAATCTATTTTATTGTTTGGTGTGGCACGGTAAAGCTTTTTCTCCTTTGAAAAGTAATGTGATCGACTAACTAATGAGACATTAACTAGAGACATTTTACGGGAAGGAAGTTTAAAAAAATTTTGGATTAGAGGAGACTTGGATAAAAACATGTCAAATTGGTCATTGGTCATTGGTCATTGATCAGTAGAATACGTGAAAAGAATGCAAGATGTACTAAATTAGTATGCATTTTTTGGTTGCAAAATGTAGCACTGAGTAGTTCATTCGATGTTGCATATTCGGGCTTTTAGCATATCATCCGAAAATCAATTGGTTTCCAAAGAGGAAGGTCCAATATTTTATGACATTCGACCATCATTTATTTAAGAATGGCATTGTTGCTCTTGGACGGATGTATTGTTGGGCCGTACTTAAGCATAGGAGGGGTACGGGAAAATACCTCACACCCTTTATTGCAGGTATCGTCAAACGATAAAGGAGGACAAACTGACGAAGCAGATTTTGATAGAAAGAGTGCTCAACTTTTATTTACTATATTATAGTAGGTAGTAACATAACTATATTACACAGTTAAAACTATATGTTTCAGTCTCCATCTCTGCCAAAAGCATTCTTCTATGACAACAAAACACAAAGTACTTGAAATGTTTTCACTTAAAAGGAGCACTTCAACAAGTAAACAAGAACAACCCTCAAAATGCAGACCAGCTCCCCTTTTCCTCTTTCACAATAGAAGACAGTGATAGATTATCAGAATTCCGAACCGAGCAATTAGCACGAATCTCACCTTGCGTCCCTGTCGTTACATTCAGCTGCGACATCTTTATCATGGATATCACAAACCTCTCAAAGAACAACGTTTGATTAATAGCAAAGCTCGTAACAATGCTCCGAGTCCTTGTATCTGTGTACAAATCTTGATCCGACGTGAAGAGGCCTTGTCGGTTCATGAGATCAACGTAGTACCTGTTATCGAACACGTTAGGGGATCGAATATCGAGTACAGTTGTGTTAGTAGAGTTAGCAACGGGACAAATGACTCTAAGGTTGTTGGCAAAGGTCTGGGCCATTGTAGGGTCTTGTGTGGGATAAAGTCTATCAGTGAAGGAAGTGCAATGGCCAAGGCCAATGGTGTGGCCACCAGAGAGCGCAACTACGTCGGTGGGATCCAAATTCTTGGTTGCAAGGGAGGTAAGAAGTGCACTTGTGTTGCTTGATGGTGGAGGAAGGTTAGCCAATGTTACATTTCTTGTTGCAAAGTTGAGTCCATCTCTTCTTCCCAAAGGAATATCATAGTCAGGTCCACCAGACTGCAATATACAATAAAAACATAGTTAGTTTGAAATAGAGTGCATGTTGGCTTTAATGATGATGGTCAACCTAGACTCGAAGGCTCGACTCAACTCAACTCGGAGTATATGCATCAAGTGTAAGTTGGTTAGTTGATGGTCAATCTAGACCTAGAGTTTCAACATGACTTGTATGCATCGAGTGTAAGTTGGCTAAGTAATAGTCAACGTACACATAGAGGCTAGAGCTAACTTTATACCCTTAAATACAATATAAAGGAAAAGATTTAAATTCTTGTGATGTAACTTAGTTCCGTAAATTATATCTATGTTTTCTTATTGCATAAAATAATGATATTCATCATTGATGGTGATTATTATTAATTTAGGTGCCCATTTCGAACGTTACCATCTTCAACAAAAACGTGTTATGGACGTCACAAAATTAAATTTGTCAATGTGATGGTACAAAATGCTTATAATTTAATTTAATTTTTATTTTTATTTATATTTCTTTGACCAAGGGGTGTGAGAACCCCACCCAGTAATTAATGTTCACTTCTGTAAAAAGACAATACATTATTGTCAGCCTCATCTACCCAGTTGGTTGTGAATTAAATGACTTCACAGCTACGTTTTGATTAAAAATTGATTAGTGATCTTGACGAACTCGCAAGGACTAAAAGATGTAAGCATCGAAATTACAAATTTACGTTACGTTAGTTATATGAATTCTTTTTTATTTTGTTGAAAACGAAATTAAATCCTTTGGGCATCGATTGTATAAGTGATCAAAAATCTAGACGAATAAAATAAGGAGATCGATATTTAGCGACCGTTTGGTACAAATTAAAATTTTAATTTTAATCTAAGTCAAAGTTAACAATTAATTTTAATCACATATTTTATAGGTCTCACATGTTTGGTCCAGCTTAAAATTCAATTAAAATCAATTTTTTGACCGTTATTTCATTATTCCAACCGTTATTTTTGAATTCATCTCTCACAGTAGGACTTACTTTATCTCTAACGATCAAAAAATCAATTAACAAAATCTCTACCAAACAAACACTAAATAATGATCTTATATTCAGGTCTCGCTTCACCCTTTCAATTATAAAGGTATATTTTTTCTAGTAATTGCAAGTTTTGGGGTTCAAATATCGTTGCTATCCACAAATGAAAATTATATATATGTTGTAACCTTGATAGAATAGAATAAAATAAAATAAAATGAATTCGACTTATGACTAAGTTTAGATAAAATAAATTTGTCACGTCTCTAATGGATTGAAGTCTTTAAATAAGGTAGTTCATGGATTTAATTGATCAAGTATTTCATAGAAAATCATGTGATCCTAAATTCAAAATTAGAGAAAATATTAGGTTTACCAGAAACACAGCATCACGAGCAGCAATGGCAGTGATATCAGCGCAAGAGACGACTCTACCGCACTGCATATGCACGCGGCGGCGAAGATCTTCGATGATTCTAAAAGCTCGAGCCCTCAAGGTCAAATTCGGCGGCGCCTCCTGCTCACCGGGTCCGCTCGCCGATCCGACGAGAAGAACTGAAGCATCACACCCCTGCATCCATAATCATTTAAACATATAATCATATATTGAGAATTTCTTCTCTTGGGGCACTGAATTTTATGCGAAATTATACGTTTACGATTAAACTTTATTTTTTTTTTCATTTAAATTGATCGCTAAAATATTATTTGCTCTAAAAGAATCTTACGTGACCTATGAAACCCAAGAATCTAAATCTGTTGTTATCAATTCACCTCGCAACTAATAAAATACGGATGAAACTGCAGTGCCAGGATAAGGTTTCACAGAACCTCTACAAGCTCCTTGTCGGTGAGCATTTTTGGGGTATTTTTTTAAGAAAAATTCAACTTGTACATAATTATTGCACATAATAATATCCATAATGTGATGTGACAATCATCCGATTGTTGATGTGCAAGTGTGAGATTTGAATTAAAGGTTGAATTCAGTGTCACGTGTAATTATGGACATAATTACGTAAACAATTATGTACATGTAGACCCTAATACTGTGATAGACCCTGTGAAACGGGGCCCGCACACTAAACTTTATTCATAAAATAAAAGTGTGCTCCACTACAGGATCATAAATATCTCATCACGAAACTTTATAATGCATCATGAATTCATTTTCAAAAATATTGATTGACAAAACTTGAAAATCGAAATCTTTATAAACTTTTAACACCATTTTTAGTTATGATCTCTTCTAAACTCTTAAATTATTTTAAGATGAAGTATATATTTAGGTATAGTTGTATCCTATAAGCAAAAGTGTGTTAAGAAAAATAAAAACGAGAAAGGATCCAATTATTTCCTTTTAACTAAGAATTATGCTCACATGTCAACGGATTGTCTTATCAATCGACTGAATAATTATTAGAAAAGATTAAAAATTATTCTAGTCATAGATCAAGTAAATATTTATATTTATCCACTCCATCTCATATAAATTGAAAAATCTTAACAAAATAAAAGAAGATCACAACCCTATCAGTACACAATTTACCTGTACAAAGCAATCGTGGAAATGGAGTCGAAGCAAGCCAGCAGCTTGACCAATATCATCATCAAAAACACTCTGCAACTGTGTTCTTATAATGGATTCCAACCGAGGACATGCAGAATCATAGAAATTCCATGAGAGTCCCGGCACTATTTGCTGAGCTTCTGTCAAATGTAAAACAGTAGAAGAAAACACCAGAAAATTAACCAAAGAGATAGCAAAAGCAGAAGATATTGAAGCCATTATTAACTGAAACGAGGTATTATCTTGTTCTGGTTCAATGGAAGCAGGCCTTCTTATAGCCATAATAAAGTCCTATTTTTCATTTTCTTTTCTTTTCTTCGAACATTTAGTATTCCAAAAGGATAATGAAAGGCCACGTGCCTGCCACCACTTCAGTAAACCCTTTCTCTTTTTTCCTTATATTTTTTTCTACCATCTTCATTCAACCCTAGGGTTAGTGAATAGGCTGAGAATTGAATAAAGATAACCTAAACATATTATAATACACAAACCTAAATTTCGGCTTGATTTTTAACCATGTCATCTAAAAATTTAATTAGTTAAAGAATATATTCATTTTAATTTTGAGGAGAACAAAAATTTGGCATGTGCCGTTGTGCATAATTTTCATAAATAAATGACGATGTTACTTGAACACGAATCATTTGTCAAGTTGGAATACTATGTCAACCATATTAACTATAAGATCAAATTGTTAGAGATGATCAAGCATATTCATTCGAATCTTATCTTTAACAATAAGGCCATGTTTGATAGGCCATGATTTCCATGGAAAATGAATTCTATTTTCCCACAATTTTTTTTCATGGAATTTGTTTTCTTGGTTTTCTTGTCATGTGAACATTTTCTTGGTTTTCTAGGCTATGTTGCCGATTTTATTTTTATTTTTTAATTTTTGCAATGAAAATAAATTCTATTCCTAATTGTAAAAAAATATTTTTCTTTAATTGACAATTTCCATGTAAAACAAAGTCAAACGAATACCAAAAAATAGATAATTTTCTTGACTTTTTTTTTTTTTTTTTGCAATAGAAACAAATTCTATCCCTAATACCAGTAAATTATATCCCTTTAATTAACAATTTTCATATAAAATAAAGTCAAACAAACATCAAAAAATACTTTTATTTCAATATTTTTCACGTGAAAAATTATACCAATCAAACATAATAATTAACAATTCCCAGTAAAACAATTTCTAAGCAATTCGATTCCCTAGAATTCGTTTTCTTTCCACCCAAATTCCATCTTTGCAATCAAATAGACCCTAATGACTAAACCCTAGTGAATTGAATAAACTACATTTTTTTTTCCATTTTAGAATAGATAATTTAATAAAAGTAACCTAAACTTCTTAGAACTAAGAATTTTCTAACGAAATCCAGTATTTAAAGTCTTTCTATGATGACTAACAAATAGTCATGAAAGGAAATAAGATTAGAGGTTTTCACATCACATTAATTACTTGATATAAAGTTTAATAGTTTCTAACACGTTATGTCCTTTTCGCGTCATTAATGCGCAACAACTCTCAAAATTTAGAAATGAGTTGAACAATCAAATATGGTAATCTTATATTCTTTAAATTTGGAGTCTAATTCAAAATTCTAACATGTGATTCTTAGATGCTATAACCATGCAAGCTATTCATTTTTTAAAATTTTATTTTTAATGGTGAAGGAAGGTTAGAGATTTTAACATTGATTTGTCTTTGAATTCACATTATACTATTGTACTAGTTTTGAAAAAAGTTTCTTTAAGGGGGTGTTTAATAAACATTTTTATGTAAAAACGTATTTTAGAATGATAAATTGATGTGAAATGTGTGGTTGAAAAATAAGAAATTTTTTTTGATTTAAGTGTAATATTATTTTAATAAAGAATGTGTAGTTGAAAAGAAGAGAAAGAAAAATGTATTTTGAAAAAAATGGCTACCAAATGAGCTATAAATCAAAATCCGTTTTCTAGAAGATCCCGACATTCCATTTTCTAGAAAATCCCGACATTCATGCTTTAGTAGGTTTCGAAACCCTTTCATGGTGTTGAAGGGACAATAAAAAGAGTGTGTGAGAGAGATTTATTTCAACAAAATAGACTCAACGTACCAAGCTGTGAATTTTTTCTTTTATATTGAAGTTTTTTATTGTTACTTGTATGCATAAACAATATCCTAGACACTGAATATGCAAAAGTTAAAGATTGAAACTTGTAAGTTTAATTCTGCTTTTTCAAGGTGTGGACCTTGTCGAGAAAAAAATAAAAATAAAAAAACGAAAACGAAAATGAAAGCGAATACTTTTCTTTTTGTTTCAAGAACAAAATTGAGTCCCCCTTTTCTCCCAAAAATTTAAATACTTAGAGATTTGAAAAGTAGAAGAAACCTGCTTGGTCCACAGGTATCCCCGTCGGCACCTCATATGGGGGTAAGTAAGTTAATTTTTTACCATTTTTTATTCAGATAAGGCCCATGCGTTTGTGAGTTATATGGTCGGGTTCTGTAACCCGACCTCCGTGCATGAGGAATTTTTCAAGTGTAAAGTCACTTGTACACTCTTTTTATACATCATTGTGCACATCATTCGAGTTGGCAACATGTGATTGATGAAAAAGTTTGATTTTTTTTTTAAAAACTGTCAAATCCGAGTTTGATGAGTAACGGAGTGTACACAAAGTTATATAATATGATATACATGAAGCATTTTTCAAAGTAGAAAGTAGTGGTGGAATACTTGCTTCAGTACGACTCTTTCACATGCAAGAAAAAAAGATGCAGAAATCAGTGTTCTGTCACATTGATTTATCTCTTTTCTTCTCGTTTTGGTGGTTCCAAGTTAAAAGTGATGTTGGAGTACAACAAATTATTGTACGTCTACTGTGAGCTTTTAGTTCATGGTATTCTAAATTTGAAAAATGCTAAACAATCCGCATCGATGACTCTATAGATGACCGTATACTCACAATCGAGACGTGGATCCCGCGTGAGTAAAAAAATATTTTCCTCCTCCATTGTATGTATTATGTTAATCATGCGGTTCGTCTAGCATGCTTCTCTAAATTTATACTACAATATTAGTAAGCAAACGATTAAATTAATAATCCAAATGAAATTAATTTACAGTTCTATAAAAAGTAATCCGAGACGAACAAATGTAAATCAAACTCAATGGTACAAGAAAATAGATTTTAGGAAAAATATCTATGTAAAATTTTGAGGAGTATATTCTACGAAATTGATGATCAAATTGAAAACTTTCTAATTCGAACTTTCTTGGTGCAATAAATAAATTTTAGAAAGGAAGTGGGCTCTAAATTTTGAGGATTATATTCTACGAAATGATGATAAAATGGAAAACTAAATGGTCCTACATATAGCTTTCTCATATAAAAACATTTGAACACTTGAATGAAAATATGAAAAGGTAACACGATGAAATGTATAATCATTAAAAAAGACAAATTTTAGATCAAAATTTTTGAAAACAAGACACAACAATTAAATTTAGGGTCCATTTCATTTCAAAAAGTGTATTATGAAATAATGATCGATGTTGAAATGTGCGATTAAAAAGAAAGAAAAGTTTTTTCTTTATGTGTAATATTATTTTAATGAAAAATATGGAGTTAAAAATGAGTACTGATTTTCTTTCTTGTTAAAAATGAACACAATTTCTTCATTCCTATAGTGCAAAAATAGCTTAGAAAAAAGAAAGGAAAAAAATGACCTAAACTCCCATCACAGACCTCCACCCACACTCCATTCCACACGCCATTCTTCAATGCATATGGAAATGACTTTTTATGTTCACTGAAACCTACTTTTTCCTTTTTCCACGAAGCTAAATCCTTGACAAAAGATTAGAGGAAGGAAGTGCGTGTTATTCCTAACCATAATTCTTTATCAAACCATACTTTTTTCCCAAAGTCAACTATGCGATATTCTCGTTTCAAAATCAAGATCCTACAAAGTCGGTTACGTTTTGCAAGCATCAAGAAAATGAATAATAGATATTAAGAAAGCTCGTAAAAAGTCAATTATGGGTTGTAATCATCAAGAAAATGAATATTATAAAAATAAAAATAATCGATAAATTTGGAATAAACCCTTTTTCTATTCAATCAAAATCAAAACCTAAAGTGCCCACGACTGCCCTATTAAACCCTAGTTACAAAAAGTCTAATTAAAATTGCTCGTCTAGGCCCCCGACTAAATGAAAATCTTTTAGAATTTAAATAAATAGAATGATGTAATTTAGTTGAATGATGCCATGTTAAAACATTTAAAGAATATTCGTTCTTGATAATTCGAGGACACTTGAACTATAGATTATTGGCGATAAATATAAGGTTTGCTTTCATGCAAATCTTGTTAGAATTTGGGATGTGACCGGAATTCCACGTTGAAATAATTATAGAATTCTAATTGAAGTTCACATCAAGAGGAATTTTATTTGGAATGCTATTGTGGAATCATATTCAAGTTTAATTGTCAAATTCTAATTAAAGTTCTATTTGAAAGCTCTATTGGGAGTTGGAATTTGTGTTAAACTCGAAGAGATCAAAATAATGAAACTTTTGGCATTTCGTTTCATGTACAACTCTACTTGTAGGGATTGGATTGTTTTTCCTTATAAATACTAGACTCTTTTTCTAAATTTGTGAAGCCAACAAAATCATTGTTGCTCAATTATTTATACTCTCTCTAGTTGTTATTAATAAAAATCGTTCATCTATCAATTTCTCTTCTTGTTCTTTATTTTAAATCCTATTTCTGTGATTGTGATCCTGTATACTTCATATTACTCCATATATCTCAATGCAGTTCTCCATCAAATAATGGTTTATTTTTGTTTCACCTCCAACAAGTGGTATAAGACCACAAGCTGTTTGGTTTGGTTGAGGTTTTCTAGAGATGATTGATTTGAAGTATAATATTACACTATTGGATTGCAATACAATGTTTTCTTTGTAACAATTGAAGATGAGAGCTGTTTTGGAGCAGATGGATTTGGACGATACTTTGCTAGGTTTTGATAAGATGCCAACAATGTGGACAACGAAGGAGAAACAATGGAAGGATATGAAGGCTTTGTCGCAGATACATCTTCATCTCTCCAATAATATTCTTCAGGACATATTGAAGGAGAAAACAGCTGCTGCTTTGTAGATGAAAGTGGAGCAGTTATGCTTGATCAAAAGTTTTATAACAAACTACATCTAAAGTAGAGACTATATCCCCATCACATGGCAGAAGGAGGATCCTTGGAAGATCACCTGGCTATGTTCAAGGAAATTGTCAT